TGCTTCCGAGCGCCCGCCCGCCCGCTGCTGCAGACGCCGTGTGCCTCGGCTTCTCTTTGATGTGTGCAGCTTTCCCTGCCGGATCCAGCCCACCCCCCCGGCTGACCTCCTCTCCCTCCCTTCCCAGGTGTGAGAATGGCGAGCAGTGTCAGGGCGGGAGCGGGCACCGGGGCCAGCTGGAGAAGAGACAGGAAAAGGCCATCGTAAGTGAGCGGGGACCCCGCGCTGGGACAAAGCAATCCCCAGCCCTCAGTTCATGTCCTGCTGCAGAAAAGCAGCGGTGGAGGCCATTTGCCCTGGCTTCAGCATCCCTTGGTGCAAGGCCAGCGTTAAACGAGGACATGGGGGTGGAGAGGGGAAAGGAAAACCTAACGTGAAGCAGAAGCCACCGGTGACTGGCAATACACGGAGTCCTTGGCGCAGAAATCCCCGGAGCATCCTACTCCGGTGCTTCAGAGCACGTGGCATTGGCAGTTACGGGGTGAGCTGGGGAATCCCTGAAGCTGCTCAGCCGTTATGGATGTGGTCCTGCTGCAGAGGCAGCCTCGTGCACCAGGAGCCCTGCCTGCACCCACGGGTGGGAGCTGGGTGGGGTGGTGGGCACGCGGCGAAATAACTGTTGGTGCATGCACACACACTGACACACGCTCACACGTGCCTCTGGCATTTTTCTTCTGTAATGCAATTGAATTTTGCCCCTAGCAATTTTTTGGAATATTTCCTGGCATCTTCACCAGGAGAAGCTGAAAAATCTGCAGGAATCAGTAGAATTTTAAAGGAGAAGGCGGCGGGGGAGGCTGCTTCAGCCTGGCTGTAGCACTGTCCTAAGGGATGTGGATGCGGCTGTCCCCCGCAGCAGTGGTGTCCTGGGGGTGACACCCATGAGCTAGCTGGAGCAGAGGCAGGCAGATCTCGCAGATGTCAGGCTGTGCCCGTGGCGGCATCGCCCTGCTGCAGCCCGATTCCCGGTGCTGGCTCCTCGGGGCTCCCTGACAGCCCTGCATTTCCAGTGCCCGTGGGCAGCACAGAGGAACGGGGCTCCCGGAGCCTGAAACCTTTCGCTTGCTTTGCCAGGGGGAAGGCCGGGTGGTGTATATCAGAAACCTCTCCAGCAGCATGAGCTCCAGCGAACTGAAGAAACGCTTCGAAGTGTTTGGTGAAATCGTGGAGTGTCAGGTCCCGTCCAGGACCAACAGGGGGGCGGGGGAC